GACAAAAAATAGTATGAGATATTTCACACTTAGCAAACTAAAGTAAGAAAGAAGTTATGTAGAAAAATGAAAGATAAAAAGAAATGACACACACCATTTATGAAAATAATAGAAAAAAATCCTCCATAAAGCAAAAATGAGTGAAAAGTGAGACCAAAGAAACCTAAGATAAAACAAAATGGCAAATCAGGAAACAAGTTATCAAAACACAATTTAGACAAGTAAACATGCAAAATGGGCCTGGCTACTTTTTAGGAAAATCCGGAATTTAGTTGAGTACAATCCCAGGGTTTATGGTGACCATAACCTCTGGGATGGTACATATAGAGGAATAAACAATAAACCAACTGTACAGAACTAAACAAACAGCATTCTACTAAAACCAAGTTGTGCAAGACCAATCAAAAACTGTTCCAAGGCAAGTCTGAGTTCAGCCAAAAACATGAAGAAACAAACATCCCTGTTTAATCTTTGAGAACCAGATGAAATTCACATCTGACAATATTTCCACTAAACCATAGTTAAACAAATTCCAAACATAATGTTTTTTGTAACAAAGTTGCTGAAATAACTAATCTAATACAATTCAAAAATCAGTGGGGGGGGGGGGGGGGATGACAGAAGGCCACATGACAAACAGGATGAATACAAGAAACCAGAGTTATCTGTAGACCTGACGTTTAAAATGGAGTAGAGATGTGAAATAGGAATGAACTCAATCTTTAAAATAGAGTACAGATGTGAAATAGGTGTAAACTCTACCTTTAAAATGGAGTAGAGATATGAAATAGCTATAGACTACCTTTAAAATGGAGTACAGATGTGAATAGGTGTAGGCTACCTTTAAATTGGAGTACAGATGTGAAATAGATGTAGACTACCTTTAAAATGGAGTACAGATATGAAATAGGTGTAAACTCTACCTTTAAAATGGAGTAGAGATGTGAAATAGGTGTAGACTACCTCTAAAATGGAGTAGAAATGTGAAATGTATGTAGAATCAGCCTTTAAAATGGAGTAGAGATGTGAAATGTATGTAGAATCAACCTTTAAAATGGAGTAGAAATGTGAAATGTATGTAGAATCAACCTTTAAAATACAGATGTGAAATATATGTAGACTCAACCATTAAAATAGAGATGTGTAGTATATATGTAGACTCAACCATTAAAATGGAGATGTGTAGACTCAACCATTAAAATGGAGATGTGTAGACTCAACCATTAAAATGGAGTAGTGAAATTAATATTACAAAACCTGAAAAGACTGAGAAACTATCACACTTTTCAGAAAACAAAATTTATCCTATGGCGATAACACATTCTGAGGTGAATGCTCTACAAAGTCCCCAAGGTCAATGGCATTGTTCTTTTAATGTAC